TTCGATTATGAATTGATATATTCTTGCTTGATTGATTGATATAATCGAAGAGTGACACTTCGATCTTGCAGTTGGTAACAATTGAATGTTGATTAGTCGAGTTAGGGTTTCGTTGATTCTATGTGATTAGTCGATTAACACTCTTCTAGTTAAATTAGCGACTTTTTGAACCGAAAGGGGAGAAGTCGTAGACTTAGGCTCACATGAGGTAGACGATGTCGTAATTGACTAATCTACGTGTTTTAGATTGAAATACGCACTTGTCAATGACCCGTCCCTTGTTACGAGAAGTTATTGGGTATTGGAATAATTGGCCTGTGTCGTATGCTCGAACTTGTTCGTCCATGTTCAATTCCTTGTTACGAAGAGTTATTGGGAGCGAACCGCTAAATGTCTAAGCGAGAGTGTCAATCTTGAACCGAACAATTGATTGCCCGGTTTTGCTAGAACTTGAATTAATTATCCCCGACTCCCTAGCTTATTTTTCATTGTTTCGTTTATCTTCTTAGGTAGGTTATTGCTTTTTATTATTTCTTAGCTGATAATAATTCATCCATCCTTATTCGATTAGAGTGTTTAGGTTTGTTTTCTTTCTATGTATTATCGATATCAGAACTAAATTCCGAACAGCCTTCCTCGTGAGATCGACCCGGGGAACGAATCTTTAGATTCGGTAATCGGTAAAAAGAATAATTTGTACACAATAATAAGATTAAAAAATTATCTAAGAATAACAAATATATTACAATTTATTTAAAATAAAAATAAATAAAAAATAATTTATTTCTTGTAGAGCGCGAACGAATGGATATTGAATTAGCACATATTCTTTTTATTTTAATCCAAGAATTAGCACATATTCACTATAGAAAAAATTGTCTAAATATATTAATTAATTAATCCCTTCTAGAAAATTTGAGAATTCCTGAAAAGTTGATGTGAAGATCCTTAAACGGCCCGTCTAAAATTCGGTCTGGTCTCAGACCGTGGTCAACGGGTTTGACCGGGTTGGGCTCCGGAGGCGGGCCCTTGACCATGTAGTCTTTATCTATTACAATTTATTTATTTACTACCCAATCCGTCAAAGTCTTCTTTCAACGGTAAAAATTAAAAGTAGACAAATAGACACTAGAGTAATACAAATTTCAAAAACTAATAATAACGCGTGCATGAGACCATTTCAAACAAAAACAAACCTTTCTATCTATAAAATCAAAGCTTTAGAAATATCACCTTCACAAATCACAGAGCTTCTTACATATCCACATCATTAATACAAACAAGTAACTCTTGTATTTTTCACACACACAAATCAAAAGGAAAAAAAAAACAA